TTTTCACTCTATGCATCCGAAGAAGTGAGGTTTTTTACTCACGAAAGCTTATGCCCAAATAAATCTGTTAGTCTTTAAGGTGCCACCAGACTCCTTGTTGTTTTTCTTCAGATGACATGTCTCCCTATATGTTTTTTTCCTCCGTGAGCCTGAATAGTAACAGCACTGACAAGGAGGCTCATATGGCACTCTGCCAGGAGCCCAGGTTGCATCCAGACCGTTCTCACTGTAAGGAACAGTAGAGAAAACAGAACAAAATAAAATGATGTGAGCCGAAGAAAACCAGGTTACTGGACTCAGAGAACCAGAAAAAGATGAAAAAAATCAGTCACTGCCTAATGGCCTGAGACAGTTAGGTCTGCAAGGCAACAACTCCAGTGGGGAGGTGGTTTGTTGGCTGACGGCAGCTGGCCTAGAAGTAGGTAGAGCCCATGAGCTAAGAAAATGTGTATCGTGTAGCAGAGCCTTCAAGTTAGCCTACAAGTGGCTCAGAGGGTCAAGAATCTTAGAACTAGGGGAGTTTCCTATATGACTCTCACTGGAGGCACTAGAGCAAACAGAAGCCTGTACCACTGGTAACTTTAGAGAAATTTTATATTCCACTGGAGACCAGATTGTATTGTTTGAATAGAACAGTTATTGTATTTACTTTTGGTTTTCATTCTTCACAAGGTAACTACATTTTGTGCAACTTCTGTAATCACTTGAGCCGACAAGAGGATTGAACCCTGGACCTTCAGCAATAAAAGAATGAGTTTCTACTGTTTCAGCTAAAGCATTACATTCTGTAATGCAAACCAGTCACATCACTGTTCCCCTCTGGTGTTATCTGGAGAGTTTTGCCTGGGCTTGTTTTAAGCCATGAGGACACATTTTCAGCCTCATAACTATATACATGAAAATACAACCTATAATATTACTGTAACAACAATTACTATAACAACAATGCTCAGTGCATCATGAGCCTTCCAAAGACACCTGACATGACAAACTTGGATACCACACAATCATTTTATAAGGATGAACATAGGGGTGCTGTGTGTTCCCCCCGAGATACAGAGCGTCACAATCACATTTGTGGCCCAGCCATCAGACAGGGATGAAAACCGACACTGGGCTGGAGTGGGTTACACATATAACTGCACAGTCCTATTTGCAAAGGCTGCATATCTTTCTCATTTGTCTCCATGGCGAGTCTCTGGCAAGGGGCTTAGGAAACTATGTTAACTGTCATATTCTGTATATAACAATATTTTATAAAGCCTTTTTGGGGCAGAAACTATATCTAGTTCTATATTTGTACAGCTCATAGCCCAGCAAGGCGAATATGCTGATCAGGTCATCTGTCTGCTACTGTTAAATAAATGTTAAAGAAAAATATCTAGCAAGTATATTGATTCATTTTCCCAGGCTGTATTTTCTGCCATCTATAACTATTCAGTAGAATTACAGTGTTCATTCCTAGTTGCAAAGGGAGCAGACACACACCCTTGTCCAACTCACTGCAATAGCACTAGACTTCTGGCCACAGATTTTGGGAACACTGTCAATGACTGTGTTAATCTTCCCACCCCATATTCCACTCCAGTTTTAACTGCATTTCTGTGGCACTCTTTCCTGTACCTTTGCTGCCTTACTACTTCATCCTTTTTCCATCGGTGGTGTTTAATTTCCTTAGATATACACCCAGAAGTGTGCAGAGAGAACACAAAATACCAAAGTCTTGTTCATACAGGCCACAACCACGAAAGGATTTCCACACACCATCCACTCATTCTCTATCATTTAGAGCCCTTAACATCTTGACTGTTAATTGCTGCCTGATTCATCTAAATGCTTCTTGGTCGGAATATGTATAGCACATTGCATGTGCTACATTACCTCTAGATTTTGACCCTGAAGTGAGTGTGATAGGGAAGGAAAAGGAAGTGGAGATGGGGTGGAGGAGGTGGGGAGGAGGACGAGGGCTGTATATGAGCTCTGAATGGGGACCTGGGAGAACAGGTAAGTGTGCATGTGTGGGTGAAGGGAGGAACATGGGATACTGGAAGGCAGGAGGGAACACCGGGAAAAGTTATTTAAGATAGGAGGTGTCTGGATGGGAATA